TAGACTTTATTAAGGATGAGATGTGTGTCGCTACTCCGTGTTGAAAGTATTATTTATGTGACCTAAAATTGACCACAAACACACCCACACACACATAAACCACACACACATAAACCACACACACACCCATACAATACACACACACGTGCACATACGCACATACACTCACATTCACCACAAATACACACATTCATACATACATTACACACACATCCATAAAGACACACACTAACCCACACACGCTAACACACATACATACACACATGCAAACACACATATACACCCATGCAAAAATGAGCATCTCTGGCGCAAGCATCGTTCCAGCCAGTGTATTAGAATTTTATAGCATTAAAATAGCACCATTAAACAATATGTTTGTTTTAGAACGGTCACTAAAACACAAATATACAAAGGTAGGCAAACAAACAAACAAATATATATACAAACATTTTCATACAAACAAACATACAAACACACATACAAACATTCAAATAAAACCTTACAATTCATTTAAGCAAACACACACTTAATTAAATATTTCATTTACGTGTTTGATCATACATACAAAACATTCAAACATGTAGCTTACACTCAAATACATAAACACATACACAAAAACATACAAAAAACATACTTACATACAAACAAACGCACATACAAACACACACATACAAACACACACATACATACACACATACATACATACAAACATACAAACATAGAACCCAAAATCGCATTAAATGTAAATACAATTGCCTTTGATGATGGCCAAATATTCCTTGTTAACATTTTCTATGTAATTACATTGACCTTCCATAATAAACTAATAATCGCTAATTACGTCCTAAAATGGCGGGAAATAATATAAAAAGTATAATAATAATAATAATAATAACAAAATGAATAAAAATAATAAATAACAAAAAATAGTTTGTGAAAAGTCTTTTGGTGTCAGAATGTTTTCATTATATCATGCACAATAACGTAAACAATATCTTCAACAACATCAACAACAACAATATCAACAACAACAATATCAACATCAACAATAACATCAACATCAACAATAGCATTTCGCGAAATATAGACCCGCATTATCTTACAATGATACACGCATTGTTTAACATAATATCGCTAATGTAAGGTGATGATGTTCTTAAAGATGATTAATGCGTTGTTGTCGTCGTTGTTGATGTTGATGTTGTTGATGTTGATGTTGTTGATGTTGTTGATGTTGATGTTGTTGTTGATGTTGTTGATGTTGTTGTTGATGTTGTTGATGTTGATGTTGTTGTTGTTGATGTTGATGTTGTTGATGTTGTTGTTGATGTTGTTGATGTTGTTGTTGTTGTTGTCGTTGATGTCTGTGAAAGTGTTGAGGCTGATGTTCTTGATAATTATGTTAATATTGTTTTCGCTTCTTTATCTTCTTCATCATCACCCCAACCACCGTCATCATCTTCTTCTTCTTCATCATCACCATCTTTTTCCTCTTTTTTTATCATCATCATTTTCTTCTTCCTCTTCATCACCAAAATCATCACCACAACCACCACCATAGATAAAATACTTCGATGATCCGACAGTGGAATCATACCAGATGCTCGACAAGGTACTCGAATTCAACGAAGCTGCAGCAGCAGCTGCAATGACGTCCTCAGCAGCTGTTATGACGTCATCAGCAGCTGTCATGACGTCATCATCTTCCGGTATGACCTCATCAACGGCTATGTCGTCATCGTCAGCTGCTACAGCAACTGCAATGACGACGTTCTGGTCAAAAGATTTTGTGGAGAACTTTGCGCATAACTTGTCGCAAGTTCCTAAGGTCTGTGTTGGTGATGACTACTACTATCATCATTTCCACAATCACCATCATGGTGATTGTGGAAATGATGATGGTAGTAGTAGTAGTAGTAGTAATAGTAGTAGTAGTAGTAGTAGTAGTAGTAGTAATAGTAGTAGTAGTAGTATTATTATTATTATTATTATTATTATTATTATTAGTAGTAGTAGTAGTAGTAGTAGTGATTGTGGTGGTAATGACGATGAGAGTGGTAGTAGTTGTAGTTGTAGTAGTAGTAATGTTGTAGTAGTAGTGGTGGTGATGATGGTGATGACGTGATGATGATGATGTTGATGACATCGCGAGAGTTTCACAATTATTAATTTTTGTTCAAATACTTAATGATGGTTTTATCGATGTTATTGTTATTATTGTTGTTGTTATAATTATACTAATAATAATAAATAATAATAATAACTATTATTATTATTATGAAGAAGCTGAATTATTATCAAGCGCATTTTGTCTTAGCCTTTATTTCTGTTTCTCTAGCAAACATTCGCCATTATGATGAAAATATATTAAAAAAATATACATATATGTGTGTGTGCGTGTGTGTGAGTGTGTGTGGGTGTGTGTGTATGTATGTTTGTGTGTGAATGTGTGCGTGCGTGTGCGTGCAAGCACTGAATATGAAATATTTTCATTGTCAATAATAATGATCAAGAAGAATGTTGTATGAGTGCATTTTCATTTTAAAAAACTTCAGTTAAGAATGAATCGATCATTTTATCTACCATTCATTCATTCATTCGTTCATTCATTCATTCATTCATTCATTCATTCATTCATTCATTCATTCGTTCGTTCGTTCGTTCATTCGTTCGTTCATTCGTTCATTCATTCATTCACTCAATTATCCATCTGTCCATTCATCTATCTAGTTATTTTTCTCCACCTAAATGTCAGTTTAATACTGCAATAATCCATTGATTTGTCTCTCTACCAAGGTTTCTATTTTCACCATTGTTCTCTCTTTTTTTTTCTTTCTCTCTCTCTTTTTCTTTCCTTCTCTCTCTCTTTTTCTTTCTTTCTCTCTCTTTTTTTTTTGTT